CGGGATCCGCAAGCTGGCGGACTACGTGAGTGCCACCCTACCGGCAGTCGGTGACCTGACCTGCAGCCGTGCTGGGAAGCAGGGGAGGAGAGGGAAGGCTGGGTGGGAAAACGGCTGTGTAGCTGCTGAGCTACGGCCCCGCAGCTCGGAGGAATGTTTTTCTTCCCTCGCTGGCCCAGTTTGGATTCCTCCCACCCCATGGTTGCCCCACTCCCAAGTCTTTTTCAGGTCCACTCCAAGGGGCTGAAGCTGGGAATCTACAGCGACGTCGGGAACAAGACGTGTGCCGGCTTCCCTGGCAGTTACAACCACTACGACCTGGATGCCCAAACGTTTGCGTCCTGGGGCGTTGACCTCCTCAAGTTCGACGGCTGCAACTCCGGCTCGCTGGAGCTCCTGGCAGAAGGCAGGTGGGGGCTCGAGGCACCGGGTGGGAATATTCTGCAGGGCCAGGGTAGGCTCCAGGGAGTTTTTTTTTCCCCAAACATACTAATTTAAGGGATTTGCTTACAAAAGCAGCGTGAGACACTGTTCACGAGCCCTAGGTAGCGAGCGTTGCTGGCCCAAGTGGTTTTTTTACCCATTCAGCCTCCTGGAGCTTCCACAGCTTGAAAAAGCAGCTTTCTCACACCAGAGACTGCACCATGCTGAGTGCAGAAATATCAGGTATGTGCTCTGGGGACTCTCTGCAGAGCTGCTGCCTCAGCTCTTAACAGAGCAGAGCAGAGCCTGTACTGGAGAGCTCAAGGCATTTCGCACACTTAACCCTTAATCCCTTTGGTGAGGTCACGTCGACGTGGATCAGCTTGAAGCTCGAACAGCTTATGTCAGCTGTAAAAAGAGCAGTTACCAGGGCTTTTAACAGGAAAAAGGGAATGCTGGCATGAGAATCCTACTGAGGGTTTTCGTTTTAGAGCGCATGAGTGTAAATCCCGGTTCAGATGTTATTTGCAGCTGGAAACTCAGTAGCTCACTGAGCTGAGAGGGCTTGGCCACAGGCTCTCTGCAAGCACAAATCCTGGTGGCCCAGGAGCAGATTTGTGAGAAGAACAATGCAAAGGTGGTTTTCTCTTGACTGGGCTCTTCCGGGCAGCAAACTCGGCACCACAGTGTTTGGGAGCAGGAAGGTGGATGTGCCTGGCTGGGAGAACCTGCCCAGGTGACAATCCCGTGGAAGCCAGCAGGTGCCAGCTGGCCCAGCCAGGAGCACAGCTGAGCACTGTGACAGCTGAGCAGGAAGCTCTTGTTGGATTATATGTGTGACCCAGGTGCAATCTGGTTGTATTGAAGCAGCTCCAGGGGAGAGAGCAAACTTTTTGTTGCCTCTCTGCTGGTTAAAAGGGACTTAACAGGGCTCTCTGGGGACAAGGACAGGGAAACACTAGTGCTTTTGCAAACTGTACCCAGTAGCTTGATAGATACCAGCGTGTATTTCCCAGAGGTAAAAATGCCACACAGCAAAACTGCAGCCTCTATGGCTGCATGTACAAAGAGATCAACAGTCTCGGAGCAGTAAGCGTGCCCATGACTCGTAGCAAAGCTGTGAAGGAGCTCACCTGTCCCTGGGAGGCAGGAGCCTGGCTACGAGCTGCCCTGTTCTCCCTGTGCTGGTTCAGGCTCGATTTTGCAAGAGTTGAACTGAAACCCGAACCTGTGACACTGGATTAGTTACTCTGTTTGTTCGAGGAGATTGTGTAACCTCTTCTTTTAGGTTACAGGCACATGTCTGTGGCACTGAACAAGACTGGAAGAAGTATCGTGTACTCCTGTGAGTGGCCTTTCTATTTGAGGCCAGTGCAGCAGGTAAGAAGTGTTTCTCTCAAGGATTATCCTGGGACTGAAAGTGGGAAGAACAAAAAAAAATAGCATTGAGATTCCAAAACAACCTCCTGAGAAACTTGCTCCTCCTTGCTCTGATAGAGAACAAGACTGCAAGGTGGAGGAAACCCACTTTTTCCTCTAGAGCCCTGCAGTATGCTTGAGGCGAGTCATTACTCTGCTGAAAAGAATTCAGTAGGATCTTGCAGAATGCACAGCCCAGGAGGAGCACGCCAAAGAAAACAGCAGCATCCGTCTGCTTTCTGTCTCCAAGGACAAAAGATTGGCAACGCAGACAGGCAGCTAGCAAATTGTTTGGGGTTATTCCTCCTGGATGCAGAATGCTGCAGACTCAGCCTTACAGTCACCTCTGGGGACCCACAGAGAAGACTTTTGAGTCAGCTCATTTAATAAGAATTCCCTGCATCGTTTCCCGACAGATTTCTGCCAGGCAGGCTCTGTGACTGACGTGTTGCTCTCCATCCCCTGTGCCACCCCGGGCAGGATTGTGCCATTCCCTCCTACTGCGTTAATCACCGAAGGGTGCAAACCCAAGAAATGGCAGCAATTACTGGGATGTCGTACTTTAATCCCACTAGTCCTGTCACACCATCAATTTGATAGTGCTCAAAGGAATGTTCTAACAGAGCTTATCCCTGCTCCAGCCTTTGTTTACAGCTTTTTGCTTGTACAGCCAGGGTCTCTAGCTAATCACCCTCCTTGTTTTGGCAGCCCAATTACACAGAGATCAAACAATACTGCAATCACTGGAGGAACTTTTATGATGTCTACGATTCCTGGAACAGCATCAAGAGTATCTTGGACTGGACAGCACTTCACCAGGACAGCATCGTGAAGATCGCTGGGCCAGGAGGCTGGAACGATCCTGACATGGCAAGTAGAGCAACACCCACCTCCCTCACAGCACCAGCAAAAAAATCCTTCCCTCGGCTGCAGGCTGAGAAGGGAGAGAATCATTTGAGGGAAAGGGCTCTGACAGGGCCCCAGGAACTTGGCAACAGAGTCTGGAAATGGAGCTCAGGGCAGTACTGAGGTAGCACTGTCTCTGTTAACGCAGCCTCTAGAAGCAGGGCCAGTTCTGAACACGGGTGTAGCAGTGGCAGAAAGTCTGCGAAGCGCTGGTCTCCTGCATCCAAAAGCAGATTGATAAATGCTGCCTAGCCAGTTAAGGATACCTCCACTGGTGATTCATCCTCAATTGCTTTGTGTTCCCCAACCAGCTGGTCCTCCTCCTGGTGCTCAGCCTATCTAACCTGTCCCACCCTCAGCATCCTGTCATTTACCAGTGCTTGAGTTGGTGGCCCAGTTTCTCCTCAGAGGCAGCATCACTGGGTATTTATTGTTTTCTTGTCACAGCTGGTGATTGGAAACTTCGGGCTGAGCTGGGACCAGGAAGTGACCCAGATGGCCATGTGGGCCATTATGGCAGCTCCCCTCTTCATGTCTAACGACCTGCGCCGCATCAGCCCTGAGGCCAAGTGGTTGCTCCAGAACAAAGAGGTGATCGCCATCAACCAGGATCCTCTGGGCAAGCAGGGATACCGAATCACCAAGGTATGGCAGGACCGGGCTGCGGGTGCAATGCAGGGTGCAGGCAGCCAGCCTCCTCAGAAAAAGGGGACACGTGGGGCACAGAGGAGCGCTCAGGGCTTGGTGACACAAGGCCAGTGAGGCCACTTGTTCCTAAAGCCTGATGAAACAGAGGCATGAAGATCAGCAGCTCTTCCTCCCCTAACATAAGCTCTGGGTTTATTTTCTCCTTGGCAGGACAAGGGCTTTGAGCTGTGGGAACGGCCCCTCTCCGGCGGAGCCTACGCTGTGGCAGTGCTGAACCAGAAGGAGATTGGGGGACCCCAGAACTTCACCTTCTCCCTCACCCTCCTTGGCAACGGGCTAGCCTGCAACCCAGCCTGCTGCATCCGGCAGGTGCTGCCAGCCAGCAGGAACTGGGGGGTTTACACCTGGGTCTCCTCCTTGAGCGTCGAAGTGAACCCAACAGGCACCGTCCTGCTCAGAGTAACTGCACTATAGGAGGCAGAATCTTTCTGTAAGCCTCAGACTCTGTCTAAAGTTCTTGTCACCAGAAGGCCATCTCCTTCCTCCAAGCAGGGTGCTTTCAGTTGTTCCTCAGGCCTTCACTGCTTAAGTGCTTCTACATGGACTTTGAACCTTCAGCCTAATGTGATAAATACGCATCACTCCAGCACCAAGAGGTAACAGAGGAAGGGGCACTGTTTCTCTCTTTACCCTTTCTCTGGTAGCTCACCCAGTTTCTCCAAGGTGGCATGAGGACCCCAGCAGGGAAGCAACTCCTGGTAACAACCATTGCCACTACCGACCAAAGAAACGTGAAGAGTAACATGCAGCGTCTTACAGCTCTCCTGGAGCATTTCAGGGATAATGGGGAAACACATCCTGGCTGCTTCGCTCTTGCTTTGCCAGGCTGGGGTGCACAGTCCAGGAACAAGAAAAGCTGCTTCCACCCCTGCTGAAGAAACCCAACACTGCTCAGAGATCTACTTTCACCTTCTGACAACCCAGGGACTGGCCTAAATCACTGCACTTAGCAACTTTATTGACAGCTGCCTGCTTAGTATGACCGTGATTACGTATCATGCCTTAGGACTCGGCTTTTGAGGGTTTCTCCTTACCCCAGGAGTCCTCCTCTCACCAGTGGCTACTGCCTCCCTTTAGATGACAATTCCCTTTCCAACCTTCACAGGGCCACTGGGCTCCTCTTCCTCAGTGAACTGACTTCCAGAAATACATGTGCTTTCCACTGCTGGCAGCAGCCTTTAGGTTAAATAACACAGGCCCTTCTGAGTCAGGAGATACTTAAGCACTTACGCAATCATCACGGACTACAGAATCTGTGTATCTTGATTTGCTTATATTTCTGTGAATCAGCACTTTGAATAAAACGTCCCTTAAAAAGGCAAAGCTTTTTCTTAGTTCCACTGTACAGGAGTACATGGTATCTGAACTTACACCAGGTTTTAGAAAACAGGCCAATTTGTTCCCGTCAGTAAGACTTTGTGAAATTTGTCACTGTTACTACAAACAGTGCTCGGTAAAGCTGACACAATGCAGCAACCCAGTCCGAGGGCAAAGGCACTGCTGCCAACAGCTTAAGCAACAGGAGTCTGAAAAGGCCAGTTCTGTTACTGTTGGTTAACTGAACACTCTCAGTCCCTGTGAAGAGGCATTTCTCCATCCTCCAGCTGTTATTTCCACTTCAAGAAAGTTCCTCTTACGAGAAAGCTCCAGATTGTGTTCCCAGCACCTCCCAACAGCGATCTTCCTACTCAGAGGCAGGATATCGCTGCCTCAAGTGGATGATCCCATCAAAGCCCGGCGCAGGCCATCCTACAGCGTACCCCGCTGCAGCTGCCCATCAGTCACCACTCAGTCAAAACTCCAGTGCTGTGCTGAGGCATTTTTGGTTGGGGTTTTTTTAAGGAAAATTCTTAAAGAGGTGCCAACAGCAGTGAGACACAGGCAGCTTAGGCCTGTCACACCAGCCCTTTCGGCATGACAGGATGCAGCTGGAGGAGCTGTGGGGGCACAAAGGTGTCCCTCTCGTCTCTGAGCTACCGTAACACTCATGGCTGCGGCACGGAAACCACCACGAGATGGTGCAGGTGGCATCTCATCAGATGAAGCTGCTGGTACTAAACCCACTGGTCATTTCAAGGCCTTTGCTCATGGGTCACCCCTTAGGGCAGTACAACCATCAGCTGTTTGTAGAGGGGCCTGCAGCCAAGCACAGAGGATTTCACATTACTCTGGGCCCTGCTGTCTTTAAACCATTGCTGGGTACAAGGACTCTGACCTTCCTCTTCTATTGGGCAAGGCCTTGGAGAGGAAAAAGACCTACTCAGGCAGCTCTGCTGCCTTTTTTTCTTCCCTCCCCCAGGACACTACTTCATGTACCAACAATTCAGATTCACCACAGCACTTCTGAAATGGAACTGTTTTAACTGAAACAAGCCGCAGATTAGAGGCAGCCCTTTTGAAGACAGCCTGCTACCAGGAAAGCTCATGAACAAGCCTGGAGAAAAGCCGCAGCGCAATGCTCACACAGAGAAGCCACTAGTGCAAAAACCCATCAGAGCCTCCAGCTCTACGAATATTCTAAAACACCTCTTGGTAATACAGTAAGGAGATCCCAGCCATCGGCAGGGTTTTTTTCCAAAAGCCTTCAAATTACAAACTGTTCACTTATTAAGCAGCTTTGCAAGCAACACCTTCCTGTTGGGTGCAAGTCCTACCCCACCAACAACAGAAGACACACAAAACCAAGCAACAGATTACTTCCAAATACTTTAATATTGTCCATATCATGAGTAGGACGGACCTTAGAACTGGATCACCTGGCCCTGTAAAAAGAAGAGACAGCGCAAGTTTATTCACCGCCAATCGTCAGAAACCTTTCTCAGCCGCTCGCAGCACACAAACCTACCTTTCTCTTCTTGTCTCCTCCCAGTTCAAAGTGCTTGCACCTCTTAATCGCCAGCATCCTCTTGGATCTGCAGTTGGGCTCCACGCACTCCAGCCTCAGCACAATCTTTTTCGTGGTCTTAGCCTGGGAGGAAGGAGCAAAGTGGATCAATGAACAAACCATCCATAAGCAGACAAACTGACACTCTCGGGAAAAGCTTGTTGGCTGCACTCCGGAAGATTCAGCAGCTTGTTCCCAAAGCGGAAAGAAAAAAGGCTACTGACACAGGCTCCCTCCATTGAAACACGGCGGCACTTTAAGGATCAGTGGGTCTGTACCTTCACCAGAAAGGACCTTGAGTGGGGCAGGTCTGGTCCCCTGTGGAGATCAGAAAGTCTGGGCCAGCGAATGCACCGAGGAACGGGCACTGCTGCAGTGCAGGAGGACAGTGCTCAGAAGCTGAGCAGAAAGCAGCACATCTCACCAACCTTCCCCAGAAAGAGCAGCAACACAAGACGCTCAACGCAGACCCACAACTACTGAGAAGTGAGAGGAAACCCAAGACTGCAGAGGGGAGAATCCACAGCTATGAGGCTACTGCAGCCACTGCACAGAGGTGCAGCCACCAGCTGAAATCCTCGGCTGATCCATCTAATGCCGACCAAGAAACAGAAACGAGGATGGCAATGTACAGCTGCTTCGGGTACCCTGCCTGCAGAAGCATTTTTTTTCTGCAAGGTCTCCCCAGTTCCTGGCAGAAAATCAACCTGAAAATTGCTGCCTCATTATTTACATTTTTTTATTTTTCTTCTTGCTGGAAGACTTCCTCAACACCTCCAGCAGAACACCACGGCTTTCCGGCAACGAGGTGGAAGTGTAACTAAACAGTTCACACAAAACCTGTAAGAAATCGGCCCACTGGGTTTTGCTTCCCTGCTGCAAATACCACAGATTTCTCTCTTTTACTCCTTAGCACATCTGCAAGACTACAATCCCAAGTACCTGCAACGAACAGGAAGGATGACAGCAGCAGGCTCCTGCAACTCGTGCGTGACAGAATGCGCTGTGGCCCTTTCACCACTGCTTTGAGACTCCCAGAGCTAAGGCCTAATGCAGCAGCTCTCATTTCCTGGGTCAGCGATACGGATTTCCCTGGAGACAGCTGACTAAAAGCTTCATTAAACACAGAGTCTCATAAATCCAGCAAAAAAAGTTTCAGTGATAAACTGCTGATGCTTCAAGAACACAAGGAAAGCAAGACAGCAAGAGCCTTTGCTGTGCTCTTCGACAAGTCGTGAGAAAACAGCCCTTTCCTTAAAACTAATGCCCAGTAAGGCTCAACTCCCCATCAGCCCAACAGGGCTGCAGGAGGCCG